AATGTGCACTGTCCTGATTAAATAAATAAAAAATAATAATAATAATAACTTTTTTTGATGCAGGTTTTGGCTGTGTTTACTACTTTGAAATAATAGCTAATAGTGCTTATTTTACTCAATTTATAATAATAATAATAATAACTATTTTTGATGCAGGTTTTGGCTGTGTTTACTACTTTGAAATAATAGCTAATAGTGCTTATTTTACTCAATTTGTAATTTGATTTGTGTTCCCCAAAAACACTAATCACAACTTGTGTTATGGTCTCTCTTTTATTGTGAGTTTATTTAATTTTCAGTTTGGTTCAAGTCAATTTATGAAACAAAACAACCAACAAACCAAACAGAACATTTATGCAACAAGACCAAAGTGGACTGCCATCTTAAAATAACTCAGATCTGTTTACAGTAATTTATAGTTGTGAGCTCAGCCAACTAAACACTTTGTTTGCTAACTCAAAATCTGCTTTGCTAATGCTAAACCACTAAAAATGTAAAAATAAAGTTAGTAGATTTKAATGCTAAACAGCTAAACAAGTAAAAATGAACAAAACCTAGCAGCTTATTGCTAACCGCTGTTAATTGGTTAGTTAGCCGTTAGCAGACTCAAAGTTGGCAAAACCTAATTTAGYGGAAACTAATTGGTCTTTTAATGATTTTTAAAAGTAAAGGAAAGGCTAAACCGTGAAACAAAAAATAAGTTTTGCTATTAGCTCCTAACTGATTAGCAGAATCAAGCCCACTTCTGGTAATTTATTGCAAATAGAAACAAGTCTGTTATTTTTTAAAAGTAAAATTCTCACACAATTTTTTTCAGTCATATTCAAAATTATAGTGACACAAGAGCAGAGCCCTGCTGCTCGCCTAAGAAAACTGTTTGAAACAACCATTCAGTTTGTCATCAAAAGTTTCAACCCAGTGATACTGSCTAAAAACATTGTCTGCCTATAGAGTAGCATCCAGGGATAAGTTGCTTATTTCTGTACATTAACCCTCACAATAAAATAAAATCTAGCACTTTGCTTATGACTATAAAACAAAACAACAAATACTTGGTTAAACCCAACAAGTACTAAAAGTTATGATGAACACAACTGTTTCCATGTCAGGCAAAAACAAAACAAGCCTGTTTCTAAATGCTAAACTCATTAATATATGAAGAATAATTAATAATGCATTACATCATACATGCATTAATAATGGCCAAACAGACAATTACGTGAGTGAAGTGTTTCCTGCTGCAGAAAACACAAGACATTTCCAACGACTGTCAGTTTGTACATTATTGATTCTACTCAGGTGAATTGTAAAATAGTTTTTTTATATTTTATTTTCTATAAACAGTCTTCAGATGAAAATAGATGGAAGATTTCACCTTTCAGACATGCCAGAAGTTCTTCAGCCGTGCTCTTGAAACTTTAAGCGGTCAGTGGAGTCAGAAGCTGTGAGACATTTAGGAAATTACTGTAGTCTGACATCCAGCCTCTTCTTTCCTCCTCTTCTGTGTGGATGTGGCAGGGTTGTTTGTTGCTTTGCCTCCCTGAGCTCCACCAGTCCTGCAGCTTCTCTATCCGATGCTGAACACTCTATGAGTTTATGTAACAACTTCTAGAGCCGATGCTGGAGTGTTTGTGTGTAACTCTACCTTCATCTGCAGAGACAATAGACACAAAGTCAGCAGATGGAGTGACTGTGACACCACACAGTTTAACACAGGGGAAGCCTCACAGCGTTAAAACTCTACAATTACTGTACGCTTGAGTTTCAGACACTTTATCCTCTGACACCTGCATGCAAGCTGCAGCAGGGAGAGGGTTTTTCAAGTGTGTGTTTGTGTGTGTCACTTACTGCTTCTGCTCTTCTCTTTAGTCTCCTCTCCATGAGTCTCACCTCATTCAGTTTTCATTTTACCATGAACCATATCTCCTCCTGCTCCTCTTCCTCTGCAGCCTCTTCCTCACAGACTCCTGGGGGATCAGTTGCTGCTGAATGTGCCCCCTGACACCTGAGAAACCAAAAGGCCACCGCCTTCTATTTTAACCACTTCACTGCCTAATTTCACCACCTCTTCTATACATCCAAACTAAAAAGGAAGAAGAAAGAAAAAACTGTGTTCTGTTGTAGCTATCAGAGCATTCTGTTTTCTATTTTAGGCTGATTATTTTAAGAAACATGCAAGCATGCAAAAAAAACATGCTGTATTTAGAAATATGAAAAAAAGGAAAAAATGAATATCAAGTCTTAGATTTCACACTTAAAACAGACCAGATTTATTTTTAACCTGATTGAATCTATTTAAACATGACGCCTGGTTTCATT